TACTTCCTATTATTCCATATACTTCTCAGACTAGAGGGGGAGCACAGATCCAGCTATTCACACTCTAGAGCAGGCCACCACTATGTTTCAAACTGTAGGAGTTCTGGTTGTTCAACCAGTTGGGGCGGTTCAGCCTGTTGCTACGGTCGGATCTGAGATTAGACTTGTTATGCCTGTGGAGAAATAGAAAAGGATAGATCGGTTCCAGAAGTTAGATCCTCCATGTTATACTGGTGATCTCGCAACTGATGTATAGGATTTCTTGGACAGGTGTCATGATATTCTTCGTAATTTGGTACTTTTGGAATCCAATGAAGTTGATTTCACAATATTTTAGCTGAGAGGGCCAGCAGAGAGGTGGTGGAAGAAATATGAGCCGAACAAACCAACATGGACACTTCCTCTCACGTGGGCTCAGTTTTCACTTCCTCTCACGTGGGCTCAGTTTTTGACTCTCTTCTTAGAGAAGTTCATTCCACTTACCAAGTAAGATGACTTGTGCGGCCAGTTTGAGCACTTGCAGCATGAGGGTATGTCTGTTACCGAGTATGAGATGAGGTTCACAGAAGTTGTCATGCTATGCAGCATTTTTGGTTCCTACTAAGAAGGAGAGGATACGTAGATTTGTTGAGGATCTCAGCTACAGTCTTAGATTTGGGATGGAACGAGAGGTAGAGACTGAGACTACCTTTCACCAGGTGTTAGAGATTTCTAGGAGGTTGGAGTGTATCCAGAGGCAGGAGGGGGAGAATGTTTCTCCAAAATGCACACGCAAGTGTACGTGGTCGACAAGTAATAAAGTGATAAGTAGAGTATCGCTCCCACGAGAACTTGTGATTAACTATCAACTAAGTTAAACTCAACAATTAATCTATTCAAGCGATTCATAAGATGTGATTATTTAATTAAAACTAATCTAGAGTAGCAAACTAAGAAGAAAAAAAAGGAAACAAATCGGCAATCCTTAAACTGTCTAATTAATTTATCTAATTTATTGATTGACATGGTTAATATTACTCGTAGTATTCTCCCGAAGTACATTCCTATGAAATTAGGATTAACAAGAATGCATTAATAATTCCCGTATAGTAACCAAGCAACGTGATTAGGTATATCCCTATCCTAACCGCAAATTCGTTCCCGATACTCAGGTTCAAGATCTCGCTCTACTCAATCCTATATGCAATCTAGAATTCCCTCTCCTGAGTTCAATACTAGATTCGTAGATAATATTTAATTGATGATCAATCAATCATATAATTAAGCGCAGGATTGAATAAATAAATAAATATGATAAAATAATAAGAACAATTCAAGCTTCAAACTACATCGTTCATGTTGCACCCACAACTCTAGAACTAATAAACTATAAGATTAAAGGAATAGAAGAGAAGAAAATTCAGTTAGAAGCCTCTTCCAAGCGTGGTATGTGTTCCCGTACGTGAATTCTCTTTCAAAGTATGTTAGATCCCCTCCAAATTAGGTTTAGGACCCCTTTTATACGAGTTGGGACCGTGTAGGGCCGAAATAACCTTGTCCCGTGCAAAATAGGAAAAATTTCGCAATACATGATCCAGGCCAGCGCTGAAACCAGTAGAGTTGTTTACTTCAAATTCCTTGCTGCCAGATACGTTTCTTTTCTTTAATTATTTGCTTTGAATTGTATTTCTTTGTCTTCCACTCGGGGGGACAAACATCAAAGGGTGTCCCCCTCCC